CTGAAGATCTGATTGTCTGAATGTACAAATAATGCACTAAGCTAATAGTCAAAGAGAAATACACGCTGTAAATTAATCCGTTGTGTCATGTGGAGGGTGCTTCACGTCCAGGGCTGTGTGTGTACTCATATAACAGGCTGTATTTTTTATGTTTTATGCTTAAAGAAGACAAACAGGCAGTGTTTACCCAGAGATAGGAGCAGCTGCTGCACACCTGCCCGCCCGGCCCCTTGTTGCAACAGGCAGCCAGGTGATGAGCGCCGCTCTTTGGCCGGGGTCGACATGTCAGCGCCCATTTAATTACAGCCAGCGGCCTTGACCAGCAAAAACACCCAGACCAGACCGATGGTCTGCGCTGTGGGGGCCGATAACTGCTCCGTCAACATGAGGAAACAGGGCCGGTCCAAGCCTTTTGGGGGCCCTAAGAAGATTTTTATTTTAGCTCCCTCCCTGCTTTTAGCATCAACATCAGATGCTTCATTATTCCTGTGCTCCTCTATGTTTATCACTAGCATCATTTTGTAATTAGTTACATCATATCAGTGTTATTATGGCTGTTGAGTTTAACCTTACAGGAGCAGCAAACAAAAAAATATTTAGACTTTGCAAAAACACAAAATCTTACCAAGTAATTTTGGTCTAGTGTCTAGTGAAAATATCTTGAAATAAGTTACTTGTAAGTTAGACGAAACTAACTTACAAATAATTTTTCAGCAAGATTTAGGAGCTTAAGTCAATAATTCCCTAATATTGATTAAATAATTCTAGTTCCACTGGCAGATTATTTCACTTATAATAAAACAGTTTTCCCATTTTATAAATTAAATAATCAACCAACGGAACAAGCAGTTTTTCATTGATATTAATGGATTATTCCTATATTTTGCTGAAAAGTTACTTATGAGTCAGTTTTGTTTTATTTCAAGTGTGCTAAGATATTTTCACTAGAATCTAGACCAAAAATACTTGGTAAAAGTTTGGGGTTTTGCAGTGTATTTGTCATATTATTTTAGCTTTTTAAAAGTAACATCAGCTGATAAACACTAAATTCACAGTAAACAAGTTGACAAGTTTGATATATTTCCCCAAAAGAGGCAGCAGAAATAAATGACATTATTTGTGCAAAAAAAAAAAAGGAATTTTTTTCTCAATAGTTTGTATAATCTAATGTTATTTTAAGGATATATCTATATTTCAATCATGGTGGCTTGGTGCTCTTGGAGCCCCCTGGTGGTGTGGGGGTCCCAAGCAGCCGCTTCTGCCTTGGGCCGGCCCTGCCCTGCCCTGAGGGATTTGCTGACATGAAATAGACTTGTTTACAACCGTTACTGTGTTGTTTATGACCACTTACAGCTTCTAATAAGTTTTATCCTTGATTAAAGCAGGGATAGAAACCTCCGGAGTTGCTTTTAGTTAAATTTTAAAACCAGGAGTTGCACATATTGGCCTGTTTTTACTCAAGTTTCACATTCTGCATGCTTGCAGAGAAAAGCAGGTTTATATTTAGCCTGCATGAGGGGACAGTGTTGGTACAGTTGGGCTCCAGGATTGTGAATGGGATTATGATATTATGATGTTTATTTGACTCCTCAGCCATGCCACACATAACAACCAACGCACAATGGCATATTTCTGCGCTGCGCTTCGTGTTCAACTTGCTTTGTGGAAAAAAGAAAAGTGCATTCGGACTTTTCAGATGTACTTTTTTTTCCCTGTCTGCAAGTTTTTCCATAAAATGCATCATGTTTGGTCTGTAAATGACTACAAATGCATCAGCCAAGTGCATTTAGAAAAAAAAAGATTAGAGAAATATGCTTTGATGCATAAACTGGGATAATCTATTTAATAATTAATTTCCTGATTAATTAGATCACTGCAAATTGAGGCTTTTTTAATTACATATGTTATTTAGTTTACGTTTATTTACTTATTTTACAATATATTGCATAATGATTCAATGCAAACAACATCTCACTGTTGTACACAATTTGTTTTACAATAAAATAGCATAAAATTTTGTGGGAGAAAACAGAAAAATAGTTTTTGTTGTACATTTTAATGCTTTTTGTAATCTATTAATTTAATCCTGATTATTCTAACTGTGAAAACGGTGAAGATTATTACCACAAAAACAGGAAGAAAAGCTACAGCTGAGATTTCTCAATGTCCTCCAGGTAAAAAAGAAAATAGTGATTAATCAAAATTGGCAGGTTTGACTTCGAAGATGATCAGATTGATATTGGCCAGGAAAAACCTGATCAGTTCATCTTTGACATCTATTATTCTGCTGAATAATATATTTATTCAGCCTGGATAATTAAACATAAAGTCTCATGATATTTAATAGTTTTTGTTCATTTTCAAGCACCTTCAGCTACATTTCATATAAACATTATAATCATCTTTTTTCCTCGTCATCCTGCAGCTTTAACATTAAACTGAGATTAAACTCCGTCTTACCTCCGAACAGCAGCAGCAGCGCAGCGACGTTTCCCGGAGAGAAACCACAACTTGGCTCCATATTCACGAACCATAGGTGAAAGTTTCCCGATGAAGACACGAATCCCAAAACTTTCCTTCAATCGGGAAGAAGAAGAAGAAATCAAGTCAGAGCGGAGATCGTCGCGATAAAACGACCGGAGTGCGTCCTCCGCTCCGGGGGGAAGCTGGGTGAAGTCCTCGGTGTCCCGCAGACTGGCTGCTGCTGCCTGGATGGGGAGGAAGAGGAGGATGAGGAAGAGGAGGAGGAGGTTGACTGCTTCACTGCCCCGCTGCTTCCGCTGCAGGTAGCGCAGCATCCACAGGAAATTTAAGAGCAATAATTAACCGGCAGGTTAGTTATCTCATTAACGCTCAGCAGGGAGGAAATTATTTATAATTATTTCTAGATGTGTTTCAGGTTGGTTGTCGAGTAGTTTCCGCTCCGGTTTTTGTTTATTTGCTCATTTATTTCGTGTAAAATTTGCAGATCTGTGCCCGGGACAGGGGCGATGCTAGACTGAAAGTGAGACTGGGGCACAAGCTCGAAACAGACCCCAATTTTATTGACTTATTTATTTGCAACAGTGGTGAGACTTGATTTAAATTTTTAATCTGGTTAATTGCAGGTTGTATAATTAATTAATTGTAATCAATTGCATTTTAATCAAAAAATAGACAAAATAAGCAACATGTTATCTCAAAAACATGTTTTGCTACTAAATAATGTAATAAATAGACATATAGCTCAACATTAAACATGTTTAGTTAGGATTTAGCTGAAATAGCTTAGCAGACTTACAATAACACAAAACTAACTTGTAAACAACTTTTAAGCAAGACATAGGAACTTGTTTTGATTAGAGTGTGTAATTAATTATTTAAATCAATCACATTTTATTTGACAATCACATTTGCAACATTTTTTAACTCAAAAAACATTTCTGCTGCTGAATTATTGAATAAATAGACGTATTAACTCAACGTCAAATATATTTATCAGTTATTCATGTTATTCATCCATCCATCAGGCTGTGTGCACTGCAAAAACTGTGTTTTTGGTGTAGGATTTACTGAAAATATCTTGGCACACTTACAATAACACAAAACTAACAAGTAACTTTACAGGAATATATGGGAGCTTCATGTCAATAATGTTGATGAAAACGTTCTAGCTAGAAGTGACAAACTACGAGTAGAGCAAAACATTTTAACTTATATGAGGAAAATCTCGTATTTCACTTATAACAACTATGTTTCCACCAATATCAATAATTATTTACTTGAAATAAGTTCCTATATGTTGCTGAAAAGTTACTTGTAAGTTAGTTTTGTCTTACTTTCAGTGTATTAAGATGTTTTCCATAGAAACTAGCCCAAAAATGCTTGGTAATATTTAGTTGTTTTGCAGTGCGTCCCTGCAGCAGCCCTGTGGGACCCCGGTTTGGCCCTCACAGATGCGTCCAAGCTGCAGGCGGTGTTTACAGCGTGGTGGATCCCTGTTGTTGTGCGGCTGGATGCTGCAGCCTGGGGCCGTGATGAACCGAGTCCCTCACAGGCCAGTGGCCTTCCACTTCAACTGTCAAACACAGTGAGGCTGCTGCAGAGGCGATGGCAGGACAGAAAAATTAAAAACATTCACTCTGTCAGTTTTTAAGGCTGAAAGCAGGATACTCTGAATGTAGCAACATTATGAATGAATGTTTTCTTCACTTCCAGTCATCTGGATCTGATATGAGAACTTTTCACACTTTTCTAGCTTATAGCCTTTTTTATTTTTGTCAAATTATAACCATTATTCAATTTACCACCACAGGGTTGTGCCTGAAGCTGATGTGTTGTGCAAAATTCACCTTTTGCACATTTTTGTACTTCAACTTGGGTCTCAACTGCTTCTAAAAACAATCCAAGTGCTAAAAAAAAAAGAAAAAAAAAAAAGACACCCACTGTGTTTTTGGAATGAAGTTAATGTTTTTTATTGTCTGGAAAATGAGCCATTTGAAAAACCTTTGAAATGTAACATCACGAATCAGCAGGGATTACCCGTTACCTAGCAACCCCAGCAGAATTCCGCCCGTTACCTAGCAACCAGGGCTGAGTTCCAGCACATTTGGTCAGCTGGTTTTACCTCTCTATGCGCTGTATAATGGCTGCTGGAAAAGACGAGTGTTTTGTTGTTAACTTACCATTCAGAAACCACTTGCTGGGTTTTTGCTGGTTGTGTCAGAGGCTCCACTTCTGTTATGATGAATTCCAATTAATAATTCCAACCATGACTGTCGTCTTCTTGAGAACGTCTTGGGAAAACGGAGTGTCTTCAGTCAGAGGCTGCTTCAGATTCACTGTAACACACACCACTACAGGAGAGTCTGTCCTACCACCAGCTACAATAACTCTTTGAAGAATTTAAATTAATATGAGTTACAACATTTAATTGAACTAAATTGTATAATTGGTGGGTTTATTTGTGTACAGGTATGTGAACGTATGTATATGTGTACATGTATGGACACATTGTATGTGTTATGTAAATGTAATTCTTTATTGAGTGCTCTACTCTCCCCCATGTAATACTACGATAAATACAGGTGATAATTACTGCTAAGCTAATTTTGCTAGTTAGCTAAGACGGACATGTTGCCTATGTGTTTCTATGTTCTTCCAGTCACCAGAACCTCGTTATTCACACGGGGAGTTCGTCCGTCCTTTATAAATCTGTTGAAGCACTGATAGTATCCGTACGTGGATTTCAGGCTCCTCCACCTTGTCATTCTTCTTTCACTCTTATCTGTCTCATACGGGTCGATCCCAACAGCAGCCATTTTGTTGATAAATATATATCTTGTACGTTGGTCAAGATTGTCAATATACTTTCTTTTTGATGGTCTTGAAGTCATTGTTCATCTATACTTTGATAAAATGGCGCAGATCACTTCCGGTTCAAATTTGTGGGAATTAAAATATAATAAAACTTTAATTCCATATTGTCCACCCCTATTACAGATTTGTTTAATTTCCGTTTGGTATCAAAAAAGTATTTAGCTTTAATTAGACTGTGTGGATCTAAATCTAATCCTATCTTATGATCATTTCCTTCTGTACCGAGGGAGAGTTTGGGCATCTTAATGTGACATTAGCAGCAGCAGGAGCTCATTGAAGATGAGATAAAGTTTCCATATCTGATAGATCGCAGCCATGTTGAGACGCAGGCGCCCTGCGGATCAATAGCAGCGTATTGGTGCGAACATGGCATGAGTGACCACATTGTGTCTGTTTTATTGATGTTTCTTTGTGTTTAAGTTCAGCAGAAATTCAACCTGAAATCAGAAAATAACATCTGTCACAGCTGTGAATTCTCCTCATGATGCTGCTGATGTTTTATATCACCTTGAATTCATGTTTCTATTTAATGCTAAGCTTTATTATCACATGCAAATGTGCCAATAAACTGAGGTGAGTCTATTGATTTTCATTTCTTAAGAATCAGCGTTTCGTTTCCATTACTGGCACAGTCGCTTGGAAAAGCTATTATGGACTTGGGTCTTGTTCAAGAAAGCAGGACACACCTATTGGGACCCAAAGAGCAACTTCTGCTTTGAAGACAAACCGCCTGGGCAGGTTGGATAAGAGCTGCCTCTGTGATGCTACACAGCCAAAAATGCACTGCAGTAATTTGAGTTATTTAGCCTGTCAACAGAGAAAAAGAGTTAGTTTTTCAGAGCAATATTTCTATTACATCATTCATTCATTGATAAATGTCACAGTTTCAAACTATAAATTTCATTAGCAAGCTAAAAATGCAGTTCACAAACTATACTGCTGATTTTACAAACTAAATATTTAGCTAGCGAGCTAAATATTTCGCTACACACTTAAGTTAGTTTATAAACTAAATATTTAACTTGGAGCTAAATATTTAGTATAAGCTAATATTTTGCCTTAGCTTGCTAATTAAATAATTTGTTTAAAGCTAAATGTTTAAGTTGTAAGCTAAATATTTGGCTAGTAAGCTAAACATATTTAGCTTACAAATTAAACAATTAGCTTACAAACAAATTAGCTAGCAAGCTAAATAGCGTACAAACAAAATCAAGTTAATATCTTAGTGTATATGTTTCCTAACTGTGGCTAAATTTGCTGCTAGCTGGTTTACTCATGATCGGAGGCTGGTTCCTTTGAATACAGTTGGAGAATGGTAAATTGACAATGACTTATAACGGTTATCTAGCACGTAAACACTGTTTTATAAAACACAGAAAGTGAACCTCTAAACGTTACAGCGCTGACAGAGTATATTTTTTCCTAAATGTGGCTAAAGCTGCTGCTAGGTGGTTTACTCTTCGATTGGAGGCTGTTTATTTTATACACAGTTAGAGAATGGTGAATTTACAATGATTAATAACAGCTATCTAACACTTAAATGCTGTTATTATTAAACTTACCTTTTATTATATCCTTAAGATTATGAGAATGCGGGAATTTTTCAGCTTAGTTCCCAAGGCAAAATCACACTGGAAGTAAAGATACCCAGTTTTGAGTTATGGCGGCCATTGTCTGACGTCACTGTGAAAAGGTCTATTAATTAACAAGGCGGACATGAACACCTGACCTCACGCTGAGAGACACGCCTCAAATAAATCACCTCAGCGTCCATTCATCCTGAAAACCGACTCAGAAAAACGAAGCCGTAATTTAATTAGCAGCTTCATGTTGTAAAATCCATGTAATTGTCCGACATTTTAAAGCCCCGGCTTCGATGGGGCCTCGCCTTGATGAAACGAATCAGTGTAATTTCCTAAATCTGCTAACAGACCGAGTGCAGAGGTGTCAGTCCCATTAGCAACACTCCTCTCTTCAGCTAGCGGTGCATCTTGACCCCTATTAAAGTACCGGCAGATGGCTCGCGCACGCACACGGCTGCACACAATAACAGGAGGCGTGTCCATGGCAACCGGCTCGTAATGGCCGGCCTGGAGTGTGGCGGAATCACTTGGCCTAATTTGTTAAGTACCACATCAGTGGATCTGATCTAATCAGTCTTGTTTTATGCGCAAACCGAGAGGAGCCGACATGTTGTTTAGAGACCGACCGGAGGTTTAATGATGATAATAAATGAACACTTCATAACCTTTTCCAGACCGCGGCGTTGTGGCTTTCAAGTTTAGGGATTTCCTTTTATTTTAGCCAACAGAAAGAGGAATAACTTTTATTGCAAGCAGGGTGTTCTCACAATGACAAAATTAGAAAAATGCAACCTTTAATTTGTAAGGAAATGACCATCTGTGGTGAAATAAACCAGGCTTTTCTGTGATTTTTTTTCTCACAAATTGGTAGAGTTCCGTTTGTAAAGTTACACAGAAAAATAATCAACAGCAAATATTTTAGTTTTTTTAGCCTGTCAGACAAAAAATAAAAATCATGTGGGTGTTCATTTTTTAAAGTCTTAATTTGAACAAATTTTTCCTACATTTACAAATGTTACAATTCTAAACTAAATATTTAACTTTAACACTAAATAATTAGTTTATGAACTAAATATTTAAATTGAATACTAAATATTTAGTCTGGAATCTAAATATTTACCTTTATGGTTAAATATTTATTTTTTTGTAAAATAACTATTTAGCTGTTGAATGAAATATTTAGCTTCCAAACTAAATATTTGTCAACTAAATTGACAAAATATTGGAAATGTCAGAATTCCAAACTAAATATTTAACTTGAAGCTATACATTTAGCTTATGAACTAAATATTTAGTTCTTAAACCATTGAAAGTTAAATATTTAGCTTTGAGACTAAATATTTAATTCACAAACTAGATATTTAATTTGTCAACTAAATATTTAAATCACATGCTAAATATTTGGTTTACAAACTAAATATTTAGAGTGTGAATTAAATATTTAGTTTGGACTCTGACATTTATAAGTGTAGGAATGATGTGTTGAAATTATGACTGAAAAAATGAACTCATGTTTTTATCAGACAGGTTAAAAAAAAAACTGTTAATTTTTTACAGTGTAACTTTACAAACGGCGCCCTGTAGTGGTGAACCATTTCAGCCATATGTTTTATAATGTTAATTTATTTACACAGAGACAATATACATTTCATTAACCTTTTAAAATGAGAGATTCATGACACCAGTTACATACAGTCATTCAATAAATTTGAATATCTTTGAAAAATTCAATTTATTTGACAAACTTTATCACTCTGTGAAACACATTTGTGCAATTTTATGGTTAATGGAAAAGCAGCTTCCATTAATCGTTGCAGACAAGAAAACAGTGGCTACATTTCCATTACAAATATGCACAAAACTTTGTAGATGTTTTGCTAATGTTGTGTTTCCATTAAATAAGAAACAATTAAAATCACACTTGAATCAGTTTGTTTAGGGGATAAGTCATTAAAAATCACGGCACGCCATCATCCGACATCATCAACCACTTTCTGTTGGTCGTCTTCGTCATTTCTGCCAGTAGTAACATCCTGTATTGAGATGCAAAAATCCTGCTTTCATCACAGTTTTGTAAATATACTAAAGCTGAAATGGCCAAAAAGATACACCTTATCCTACCACAGAAACGTTTTTATCGCAAAACATTTATTTCTAAATTGTTGTGATTCTATTCAGTAAATTTATTTCTGTAATTCCATTTTGTGCAGAGCTTGTGTCAACCCAGCCTAATTTTACAAATCTTCAACTGTTTTTTTTTTTACTCATCCAACCAATCCCAAATCTTGAAACAAGTAGGGGAAGAAAAACAAAACATTTTGACTTTGATAAAAAAAAAAAGAGTGAAACAAACTATTAGTTAAATTTTCATCCTATGATTTTTCCAAACTACAAACTTTTTTGCTGTCAAAACATTCAGTCCAAATTTAACTTAATCTTTTAAACTCAAGACATTTCCAGTAGAGATTACATATTTACATCTGAAGGGTGACAGCACTTCTAGGCCAAACTACAGTCTGACGCGTAGATGCTGTCTGCGGTTGCTATGGAAACCCAGAGACATCAAGGTGCCACTCAAAGCACCAAAAAACAGATTATTTAACATCTTTTAAGGCTTGTGGGTTAGAGTTTCTGCAGGATTTGATTGGGAATGTTATATTTTGAGGAAAAACTTCTTCTTGAAGAGGAGGAAGGCGATGAGAACCCAAAGCCCGCTTCCCCACAGGTTCTGCAGCAGCAACTCCCAGTGGCTCTGCTGGAAACCAATCTCCCAGCTGAAGGGGAAGTAGAAGCCGAGCAGCGAGTGGCCAACGTACACAAAGATGGAGTTCATCCCTGTTTACATCCAAACAGAAGCATTTTCAGTAGTTTACTCAGAACGTCTGAGGTTTCTGCTGCAGAAACCTCAGACGGTTCATTATATGATAAACTAATAATCAGATAATTAGCTCAAGTTGAATTAATTGTCTTTTTTTTTCATCAGTTGGATGAAAAATGTTAATTTCTGAGAAACTGATTTTGGTTTTTCACAAGCTGTTAGCTGCAATCGCTAAAATTAATACCTGAAATATACAACTATGTTGAATTTATATATTTGAATTTCAAAGTTTTTAAACTGAATCCCAGAATAAATTAATTTTTTAATGATATTTCAGATATTAAAGAGGCACACGTGTCTATAAATGGATAAAATTAAATATTTGATATAATAATGAAAAAAAGGGGAAAAATAAATTCCTAAAAAAAATGGAAGAAAAATGGAAAAGCAAAAAAAGGAAAATGGGAAAAAGGAAGATTAAGAAATAATAATAAAAAATGGGACGAAGTGAAAAAGGATGGATGAAATATTTGTAAGAAAATAGAAGAAAAAATGAAAAAAGAGAAAAATTATAAAAAAGGAACAGATCACATGAACTGAGTTGTTGCTGATTAGTGCGTAGTACCTGGGTACAGGAACGGCTGCCCTCGCCACCAGCCATTCACGTCAATGATGAAGAACATGGCTCCCAGCAGCAGGAAGGAGAAACACCCCATGGCCGTGACGTAGGACAGCGACCTGCAGAGATACGAGCTGCTGGGTGTGAACCGGACCGAACAGATCATCGGATCGGCCCGAAGCGTCAGCTGGCAGGAACCTGTGGACCTGCGCCAGCCTGCCATGTTTCTGTCTGTCTCTAAGTGCAAGAATGTTTGATGAAATACCCTCTACAGTAAAACGGCTGTCCGAACGAGCCTCTCTGCAGCGAGCCGTCTTATTTATTTATCTTTTATCCCGGCTGAAGTTGGGCCAAAAAGGACTCTTAGCCAGGAGTTAATTACCTCTAGACATCCAGGCAGAGACTCAACAGCTCAATAAGCCGCCCCTGATGAACTGCCTATAAAAGCTGGGCAGGTGCAGTAATAGCAAGGGATGAGCAGCGTCCCCTGAGGAAGATCACCAGAAATTTGCTTACACATCACAGATGTAATGGCGTTCTTCCTGCAGCAAAACATTAAAATGATTCAGGGGCGGGGCCGGAGCGCGGCGTGTTGCAGGCGGATACATCCGCAGCAACGAACGCTGCCGTTTCTCATGACAGGAACATTCATCGGGTTTAGGAGCCTGAAAGCAAAATTCATGTTTTTCTACATCCGTTTGGGTTTTTACTGCTTCTAAAAAACAACCTAAACACTAAAAGAAAAGAAAACAAACAAACAAACAAACACCCAGTCGTTTTCTGGAAGTGAGTTCATGTTTTTTGAGTGTCTGGAAAATGAGGTGTTTCAAAAAAATTCTCCAATATTAACTCACATTCCATAAACTCAGCCCCGTTACCTAGCAACCCCAGCCCCGTTACCTAGCAACCCCAGCCCCGTTACCTAGCAACCCAAACGGAACTTGTGGGGCCCATAGGGGCCAACCTAATACAAGTTATAACGGCCAGACTTCCTGTTTAAAAAGAAGCTGAAGTTTGACACCTTGAGGTATGTGTCTTATTAACTTTACATTTTCTTTGAGAAAATAACATTGACTATGTTCTCTTTCTTTGTAATGCTGGCTATGGGTAATTCAAGCCAATCCTACCTTGCTGTAAGTTAATGTTAGCTAAAGTTATTAAACTCCATTACTGTAACGTTAGCCCTTAACATTAAACATATTTTAATGACATTATTATGACTACTATTATGACATTTTTATGACATATGATGATTCTTGGTTAATGACGAGTTGTCATAACAAAGACATTTTGAATAATGTCAACTTTGTATTAAAAATCTCATGATTTACAGAATGACACTTTATGACAACAGTCATAAATATTCATGAAGACTTAATGATGTTCATGACAAGCGTCATGTCAGTCTTATTCACACCCCGTCAAAGTGTTATCGATATTTGCAATAGAAACTCGACCAAAGCTACTTAGTAATATTTTGTGTTTTTGCAGTGTAACGGCTGCTGGAAACAACAACAAAACTGGATGGTAAGTTTTGTAATTGACTTACAATTACAAAAGTTATTGGATGGTAATAACAAATGCATTCTTGTTGGTTGTGCAGGAGGCTCCACTTCTGCTTTTCAAAGATGTACAGTTGTATAGTTGCGTGTCTGTTTACAGCCATTTTCACGTACGAGTCGTAACACTGAGTTTGGGGAAGTGGCCAGAAGCAGCTTATTTAGCCCCAAAACTGCAATGGAGTATTAGAGTCACACTAAGAAAAAGTGTACAAATAAAGAAATTTAATTAAATTGTAAATAAAGTCATAATGTTTATTTTATTCTCTCTCTATTTCAATTCTATTCTCGTAAAACTATTCCCATATTTGGACTTAATTCTCCTAACATTTATTATTATGATATTTTTATTTTTTTTACCTTGGCCCTAATAAACTGATGTTATAAACAGGTTTTTCTGAAATCAGCTCAAAACAGACAGAACTGATCAAATTAAAATCTCAACATCTAATAATGATTCTGTGAAAACAGCATAATGAAAACGGTTTGTACCACCTATAAACGTGTCCCAACCTGGTCAAGGAAACATAATATGTCATTTTTAATCCTTTCCATCACTAAAGAGCTGAAATAATCCAGCAGAAGACGCGGGACTCCAGTTCAACCTCTCCTTCCACTTCACACTCCCAACGTCCAGGGTGATTATTTACAGTCGTAGCTGCTGGTGGAGGGAAGTAAACTCGTGTTTTATCAGCTGTGATTTGTGCACATCCTCCCGTTTTCTTTGTGAGGAGAAGTGGCTGAATTTAGCGGGTCAGGAAGCACTTACCAAAGGTTTTTATTGACAGGTATAAATCCTCCGTCTCGCGTGCACTTAGAGAGGATGGCTGCGGAGATTCCCTGAGGGTGGAAATGAAACAGATTTCAAATCGATGCGGGGCGATAAAGCAACATGTGTCGGGCTGCTGAGAACGTGCGGCGGCAGAAAACGCGCCCGGCAAATTAACCGATTATCAACGAGCGCCAGTTTGACCCAACACACAAATCCTAACAAACCAAACGACAGTCAGGCCAAAGCAGGGCGAACGGCTCCGACTCGGTCCAGATATCACCAGGAAGCGCAACGCATTAAGTTGGTTAAAATAAGGTAGAAAATGGCTCTCTGATGCGTCTTAGAAACACTGTAGTATCTAAAATGCCAATTGTTTTATATAATCAACTTTTATTTAGCCAATTTTAATACAAGTCATGCTTTAAAACACGTCAAACTCAAGGCCCGGGGGCCAAATCTGGCCCGCCGTGGCTTTTCATGTGGCCCTCTAGACTCCAACATACATCAATAAGTCCTTCCAGTTTTTCACAAATCCACAAAATTCAAACAAAATCAACACAAGTCCAGCTCCGTCTCGTCGCTTGTTGTAACGCAGGATGAGTCAAGTGCAAATCTTCTGAGATGATTGAAAGGATCAGCAGCAGCAGCAGCGTGAAGCAGAGCCTTACAGAGTCTTACAGTCTAATTAGCTCATTACTTTTATTTTTAACAAGGTAAACTGTCTTCTCCTCCATTTTAATAATAAATAAACACAACAAAGTGTTTTCTTTAGTTTTCTCTGTTCTGTAGGAACTGTAGGATTGTTAAACGTGCCACTTCAGCCAAAGCTTGGACTGTCATTTTTTAACCAGAAAACTTTTTGATAATAACTCTTCAACGCGCTGCTGATCAGAAATGGCGCCCGGGCCTCATGCTGGACGCCCCGGCTATTGGACATTTAAAAAAGCTTCAACTCAGGGGGGCTGAATATGAATACACACCACAGTTACTACAGAATTACTTTTTCCTTCCAATTTGTTGCATAAACAACTTTAAAAGCAAAATGAGTAAAACTGGGATGTGATCGTTTCCTAAAACACCGCAGCGCTGCTTTGCTTCTGATCTATTTTTATTCCTGTTCCAACCAAAACCAATTAGCTTTAGTGATCGGCCCGCTCTTCTTATTGACCTCCCTGACGCGGTTCTGGTCGGTGTCGGCGGCCCGGAAGCCGTTTTCTCCAGACGTTTGGGTTCTGAACATTACCAGACCTCAACAGCAGAGCCGCTCCTCCGACGCGTTAAAACGCCCGGCTGCGTCTCCGCCCGCAGTTTTTAAACTCTGCGGCAGAAAAGATGCAGCCGCGCGTCTTCCTCATAGCAAACAGCAGGCCCAGTTAATTAAAGTTCAACGATCAGGCCTCAGAAGTGTGAGATTGAAATTGAGCGATTGGCCCACATAGCGGCTGCATCCCACATCCTGCAGCCTGGAGACTCGACCCAGCTCAGCTATTTCCACTCCATCGATTCTGTCATCCATACGCATGATGGATATCCAGCTAACCGGCATCTCTGCATCCAAAACGCTTCACAAGTCACATATAAAAGTAAACAGACAAAGACAGGAAGTGATGAGGATTTACTTTGTAATTTGTGTTTCCTCTGAATTTTAAGGCATTGAGTTGTTTATTTTTTAATAAAATAGGTGCTTTTGCAGTTCAAGTCTTATTAAAAGGAGAAAAAAATACTTTTACTATGCTGTACTCTTTACTTTTACCTGAGTAAGTTTATCATGAAGTATTTCTACTCTTAAATTTCTGGATTTTCTACCCACTTTAACCAGAAATCCACCAGAGATCTTGGTCTGCATTTCCATCTCTGCGCTGCAGTTTTCACAAATCATTTTTTAACCGTGATTTTGAGTTTGTGCACTTATTCCCAGTGTGCTTTAATCATAAATAACCTGTTCACTGTAGTTTACCTCACACTCAGTGGAACAAAACGGTCTACTGTTTATTATTTTCATTATGTTACTTTATCACTCTGTGCCTCTGGGGAAATGGATCTAATTTATTTCATCTGCCTCCAGCAGCTCACGGCACAACGACAGTCAATAATATTCAAGGCAAGGAGACATAATGAAGGACATTTATCATTTAATAATTAATAATCATCTATACCCGCCTCTAAATGCTGCGTCTCAGGGAGACGATTCTCTCTCGTCTACTAACGATTACTTGATTAATCGATTATTCTAACGATTAATCGGTTAATTGTATTGAAACATTTGCACATTCTTCATTTAACTACTTAAGCCTTTATATCAAAAATACAATAAAATATGCAAACAATTCAATTCAGTGTTTAAATAACAAAATATGAAATAACAGCTTTTCTTTAGTTTACGCTTGATCATTAGTTTGAGTTTTTATACTTTTAACATCAACGTGAAAAGCTCTGCTCTCTTTGCTGAACTTAGCATCAATATTTTACACAATTTAAACCAGGAGAAGCTAAAACTGGAGGAGTTCTGGTAGAACATATTTACAGACTAACGTTTTTATGTTATATACAAAATTTATATACGTTTTGTACAGTTTTGGTCTAATTACTGCTCTAAATGACCCGTTTTTGAGTCTGCATACTCCAATTAACAATTAACTGATTACTAAAGTACTTGACAGTTACGTCAATAATTGATTAATCATGATTAATCATGATTAATCCGATTAATCGTTTCAGTCCTGGTCCAGTAAATCCAGACTAACTTCCCTCATGTGATGTACTTAGTTTTTTCTCTCTATCCCAGTCTAGGAAATATTTTCCCATGACTGTAAGTCAGCTAATCTGAGGTTATCCCTGTTTTTCTGCTGCGCGGCTGGATTTCAAAGGCCTGGCGATGACGGCAGCGCCTGCAGCTCCTTCTTCTCCGTCATCGCTGCAGGTCGGGGGAACCGGCGGCTCAGGAAGTCGGAGCGGACTCCTGCTGACCCCGTTTTAACAAACGAACCTCGGCTCTGGACATAAATATTCACGCCAGCAACGGTTCTGCACGCTCCTTAGCACCCTGCTACAGAACAAACCATCTCATGTATCGGTTGTCGTCTCCCTGAGGGACGCCGTTTCTGATGGCAGCTTGGTCCTTTTTCGCTCTGAGACCACCCAGAAACACCGTGACGCTTCAGAGGATTCCGCATATGACCCCAAATTTAACCAGTAAAGAGTTTATTTCTTTTCCAGAACCTCCACATGTCGGCTCTGTTTCTGGTACTTTGACTACATCACTGCAGGAGGCTATAAACAATACGCAGGGCTCTTCTAATCTAAAACCACATGTGAGGCGGAGGGTGTGCCCCCCCCGAGGCGAGGGATACTCATGTCTTCCAGAAAACACAGCCACACATGTGATGAGATCACACACATGTCCTCTGCTAAGTCCTGCTAATGAATGGCTCTGACTAATCGCCAAGCGACTGGGAAACACGTTGCACAGTTTACCTGACAGGCGCAGTAAAACAACCCAGCATTAATAAGCCAGGATCTTTGTGAGGAATGCAGGGAAAACCTGAAGTATTCCTCAAACTCCATCCAGAATATCAGAAATAATAAAAATGGCTGAAAGCAGATATTTACCTACTGAGCTTATAAAAATAGACAACTTTCTCATTGGCTGCGAATCCATTGACCATATAACTGTGCAAGTTTTAATTACAACCCAGAGATTTTGAAAAAAAAAAAAAAAATAGAAAACAAAAAAAATATTTTCGATAAAAAGTTTGGCACTAACCAAAGTTTTTGGGTTCTATTGAAATTGGCATATTTTTCAAAACTTGTCACATGAGTCATATGGTCAACAACAGGATGTTACTACTGGCAGAAATGACAAAGAAGACAGACAGGAAGTGTTTGGAGGACGATGTTTTTTAATGACTTATCGCGTGAACAAACTTATTCATGTGTGATTTCGTATTTAATGGACACAATGCAATTGTGAAATTGTGTTTTTTTGGCATTAGTGGAATATCAACAAAGTTTTGCGTACATTTGTGATAAAAACGCAGCTTCTGTCTGGACAAGGGACCTGTTACGCAAAATTCATTTGTTGTAAATGTTTGTACTTCCGTTTGGGTTTCTGCTGCTTTTAAAAACAGAACAAGCACTTAATAAAAACTGTCCAGCCATTTTTTTTGCCAGTAAGTTCATGTTTTTTGGTGTCTGGAAAATGGGCCATTTCAAAAACCTCCTGGTTATAACTTCACACTCCACAGCCACTGTGGAGTGTGAAGTTGGGTTGCTAGGTAACTCAACCTCAGCTTGGGTTACCTAGCAACCCAAGCTGAGTTTCAGCATGTTGGGTCAGCTGGTTTCATTACTGTATGCGCTGTACAATGGCTGCTGGAAAAAAACAAATGCTTTGTTGTTGACTTAACATCCAGAACCAACTTCCTGCATTCTTGTTGGTTGTGCAGGAGGCTCCACTTCTGCTTTTCAAACATGTTAACGTGTGAGTGTAAATGTTGAGTTGGAGCCCAGTAGCAACTTAGTGAATTTAAAGTGACAAGAGGCCTAAAACAGCTGATAAAAGTCTCATGATGTAAGGATGAGTTTCTTGATTCTAGTAACTGTGGTCATTTATTCAGAGCAGTGGTGCAACGTACCAGGATGACGGCCCACACCAGGTATCGACACAGAATGTGGATGTTCTTTCCCTTGTAGAAAACGATAATCTTTCCAGCCTGTTGGGAGAAAAAAGGGAAGAAATCAACATAAACATCCAGTTAACAAAAACCAACATGAACTCCACCAAACGCTGCGTCCATCTGAGCAGAGCCAGGCAGCAACTAGTTAACAGTTAATTACATTTACTTAAGAAAAAAATACTTTTTACTTTAAGTAATTTTATTAGAAAGTATCTCGACTCTCACTTGAGTAAAATTTCTGGATTTTCAACCCATTGAATGAAAAACAAACATGGTGAATTTTTTTAGCCAAAAAAATTCTAACTTTAACTTTTATTAAAGTTTCACAAGTTTTTAATTGAAAGAAACGGATTTGGAAACATTTGTTTTCTTGATTTTGTTATTTTTTTGTTAGTTATATGAATTATTGTCATTTTCTTCCATAAAACACCAAAATTTCCACTTTATATTTTGGTTCATCTGATGATGTAATGTTTAAATATTAAATGACCGATAATTTGGTCAGGTACTCAGTACTTCAGCAGACTTTTTACTCTTTTACTCTTGAGTAATATTTTCGGGTACTCTGCCGCCTCTGGCCTTGAGTAACCAAATAGTCCTGGGATGCGGCGCCTGATGTGGCGGTGCAGCCAGATGTGACGTGTAAGTCATCTGATTAATTTGGTGGTGATGAATGGGCCTCAGCTGGAAGCATTAGTGCACAAACACAGGGACGAGGGCAGCGGACACCTGGCGTGTCGTCCGTTCCTCGCTGACTGAGGGGCTCAAAGCCGAAACGCCTCCTGGGGATTCAGCGATGCGGCTGCGTCAGGGTGGCGGCTTCCCACAGACCAAATGGTTATAAGTGACGCTAACGACCAAAAGCTTTCTCTTCTCCAAGCCGCATGGATTTGTGTCGGTGAAGGGGAACAGCTGTCGTCTCATGGGAATATATTTTACATTTATTAAAGGGCCAGCGTCCCTGTCATGTTTTGTAGTTACACATTAATAATAGAAAATGTTACATTTATGCATTTCTCCAGAATAAAGTAGGAACTGTGGTTATAGTTGATGCTGTTGGGTGGATAAGTTGGAAAAACCTCCACATGTACATTTACACCCAGATTCAGTTGTTACAGAGCCACAGAAAAAATAAACTGCATTTTTCCTCAGGAAATTTAAGTCAGTTCTCAGATTAAAATCAGAAATTTGAGAAAAAACATCAGAATTCTAAAACTAAAGTCAGGATTATGAAATGAAAACAAAAAATTTGAGAAAAATCAAAATTTTGAGACAAAAAATAATTATTCTGAGATTAAAGTCAAAACTGTGAAAAAACTGAATTCTGAGATTTCAGTCAGAATTGTGGAAAAACACATAATTCCCAGTCAGTTTTGAGTGCTACTCATCCTTTCCTGCATCCTTCTTTCTGCTCTCTTATCCATTATATTTTTAAGCACCGTTTTCTAGTGGCTCGTTTTAGATTAAACTTTTCTGGCCTCTAATTTGGAAACTTGTTTTCCAACTTGTTTAAGTTTTTTATAGAGTGGTGAGGTCGACGCTTTGGTCAGTGCAGGATTGTTTTGTACTTTCTATAAAATGACATTTAATACATATTTAAGAGCTAAACAGATAAATCCATAATGAGGCAGCACTAAGCATTTTATGAGGCCAAAGGCAAGTTAGGAACCATAAAATGAGGAGAAACAGGCGATCCGGTTTACCTGCATCCCCAGAAATCCCATCACAATGGAGTTGATGGTTCCCAGAATCCCTTCTGGGTCGAAGGGCAGCGCAGTGAGATACATTTCCTACAAAATACAAACAAAAACAACAAGTAAGTTCAGTGAGAATCATGTTATATGATTATAATAAGATAAATGTTCCTACTTTCCAAGTGGGGTATCTGTACATGTTGTCACCAAACATCCATCGGTCGATGTGACCTGCTGCCCCCCCAGTGCAGTTTGGGTAAAGACCGTCATCGCCGATCCCGCCGGCTCCCAGATATCCTCTAGAGGCAGCAATGAAACCGCTTCAGAGTTGATGCTTTACGCTGTCAAACACAGATTTAAGTTCCTCCACCTCCGTCCAACCTCCATCCAATCATGATGTAAAACTAAAAAAAAGTCAATATCCCATCATAACGCCCCTTTAATAAACACAACATGCTGGTTGTTGGTAAAAACACTCACATAATATCTAAAAAAATTGTTACAATGTAACATTTTTAAACTTTTAACCATTCAAAGTCACAAAGATGGAGGAAGAAAAGACAAGAGGCAGAAGAGCCAGAGCGAGGAAGATGGATCCTCTGCCTCTTCGTCTCTGGTTCCACACGACCAGACTGAGATTGGATGATTATACCCTCTGAAGGGTCCACCGCAGGCCCATAAATCACTGTGGGTCCAAACACCGGCAGCTGCAGGCGGACTAACGCCAAACAGACCCGAATGCAGACTCTCGACGTGGAGGTGGTGAGGAAAGCTGTTGTTGTGGCATGAATATGCACAGCGAGTTAATGAGCAGGCGGGCGGCCTCGTTTGGACTCACGCCGGGCAGCCGGGTACCGGCAGGAGGAAGGTGACGCACAGCCATAACGTCTCCAGCAGGATGATAATCAGCCACTGAGGCCAGAACAGGAGGACGTCCTGGGCAGCACTCCGCCACTGGGGAGCAGAGGAAACGATTCATAAAACGGATGGATGGATGGATGGATGGATGGATGGATGGATGGATGGATGGATGGATGGATAAACGGATGGATGGATGGATGGATGGATAAACGGATGGATGGATAAACAGACGGATGGATAAACAGATGGATGGATGGATGGATAAACAGATGGATGGATGGATGGATAAACAGATGGATGGATGAATAAACAGATGGATGAATGGATAAACAGATGGATGAATGGATAAACAGATGGATGAATGGATAAACAGATGGATGAATGGAT